TGTTCATTTCTAAAGGGATATTTCACCTAAAAATAGTTGTTTGTTTTTTGCAGTCATTTCAGTCCAAACCAATGTGACCTTTTTATTTTTTGGTAAAGTAAGGCAGATGTTTTGAATATTTTTGAAGTGGTTGTCTCTGTCACCTCACAGCAAGAAGGTCGCTGGTTCGACTTCCGACTGGGTTACTGTAGTTGGCGTTTCTATGTGGAGTTTGCATGTTCTACCTGTGTTGGCATGGGTTTCTACTAGGTGCACCGGGGTCCCTCGCAGTCCAAAGACGTGCTACTGGTTAACTGAATAAACTAAATTGTCCGTAGTGTATGTGTATGAATGTGAGAGTGTAAGAGTGTTTCCCAGCAACTGGGTTGCAGCTGATAGGTCACCCGCTGTAGAAAACATATGCTGAAAGAGTTGTAAACACTAGTAATATACAGTATGAAACACTACTACAGACATCTTTATGATTTCAACTAGTCTTTAGTATTTAATTGAGTGAATCTGGAGTCATTGATGGCTAATCTGAGCATCTCGCCCTCATTCACACACACTGATTCACAGTTCTCTCAGAGAGAGAGAGTATGGTGAGAGTTTCTGTTTATGTGTTTCTGTTTATAAGTGTGTCTGTGATGGAGAGAGAGAGAGAGTGTGTGTGTGTGTGTGTGTGTGTGTGTGTGTGTGTGTGTGTGTGTGTGTGTGTGTGTGTGTGCTGCAGCTCCTGCGTTTTTCCTCAGTCACCATAGAGAAATGCAAAGTTGAAGTTGAAAACAAGGAAAGGCCTTGGTCTCCATGGCAACAGCAGTGCCTTAGTAAACAAAGAGAAAGATGAGACGGACGTGTGTGTGTGTGTGTGTGTGTGTGTGTGTGTGTGTGTGTGTGTGTGTGTGTGTGTGTGTGTGACTCTAAGGGACCGCAGGTATTTTCTCAGTCCAGTTCCATGATGCATTTCAGCGTGATGTCATCATGTGATCATGTGTCCTCTTCGTCTGACGTCTGTCTAAAGAACAAACCCAGCAAATATATTATCCTCAGATAATGAGAAAACAAGAAGCAGTAAAGCGCGGTGTGTTTCCAGCGCTGAGAAACAAACACACCTCCGCCTTCACTCCGCTGACTCCTGCACTTCTGACTCTAGCTGAAATTCACACGCACACTTACAATCAAGAGTAAAAACACTCAATTACCAATTTTAGCTCAGAATGTGGGGTATAAAATAGGAATTGTAAGACGTAAATTTAAACTTGTGAATAAAAAAGTTAACTATGAATAGTTAAATATATAATTGTCATTTAGAATGGAGTAAAATAGTTTTTAACATTTTAACTAAAATTTATAGTAAAAAGTAACAAATATAAAACGCTAATTTAGAATTAAGAGTAATCATTCGTATCGTGACATTTTAACTATTGATTTGAAGTAAAAAAATGGAATTGTAGGATGTAAACTTTGAATTCGGAGAAAAATGTAATTGCGACGTTTTTGTTCAGAATTTAGAGTTAAAGTTGTAATTGTAAAATGTAAATTTAGAATCGAGTAAAATTGCTTGAATTGCAACATTTTAACTAACAATTTAATGAAATAATTTCAATTGTAAGATGTAAACGTGTAAAGTTACGTAGTTTTAGCTCAGAATTTAGAGGGGAAAAACTTGTATTGGTTTGATGCAAACTCCGAATTGAGTAAAAAGTTTGAATTGTAAGATGTAAAATTTAAATTGTCAGTAAAATAGTTTAAATGACTATTTTAGCTTAGAACTAAGAGTAAAAAGTTGAAATTGTGAATTAAATTTGGAACTGTGTGTAAAAAAGTTTGAGTTGGTACATTCCAACTAAGAATTTAAAGAATTGTAAGATGTAAATTTTAAAACTTAAATTCACAATTTAAATTAAAATTTAAATAAAATTTTACTCACAATTCAGTAAAAAGTGAAAATGCTAAAATTTAGGTCAGAATTAAGAGTAACATGTTAAAATTGTAAAATTTATTTTGAATTGTGAGCAAAAAAGTTCAAATTGCGAAAATTAAAAAAAATAAAATAAAAATCTACGTTTATAATTGATTAAAAAAGTTCTAATTGGGATTTTTTTAAAGAACTTTATAAGTTGAGATTATAAATTGTATTCATTGAATTAAAAAACAGAATTACAAAACTTTTACTCAGAATTTAGAGTATAAAGTTGCAATTATAAAATGTAAACTTCGAATTGGGTGGCACGGTGGCTCACTGTGGCCTCACAGCAAGAAGGTTGCTAGTTCCACCGCAGAACGAACCGCCAACTATTCCGGCATACATTTTACACAGTGAATGCCCTTCCAGCTGCAACCCTATACCGGGAAACACCCATACATACTCATTCACACACACACACACTCATACACTACGGTCAGTGTAGTTGATCAGTTCCCCTATAGCGCATGTGTTTGGACTGTGGGGGAAACCGGAGCACCCGGAGGAAACCCACACCAACACGGGGAGAACATGCAAACTCCACACAGAAACACCAACTGACCCAGCCGAGACTCAAAGCAGAGACCTTCTTGTAAAAAAACTGAATTGTGAAACTTGACCTGTGAGTGTAGAGTACACTGTTCTGCATGAACCCTCTTTCGAGTGTGTGTTGGAGTGTGTTGTGTGTCTGTGTTCTTCCTGTGTGTGAGCCTCTGTTTCCTGTCGGAGAGCTTCATTTCTGCAGGATTTGTGCTGCTTGAGTCTCCTGTAATGGAAAAATCATAAAGTCATCGACTGAAGAATGTTCTTCTGCTGCAGGACACTGTGTGTGTGTGTGTGTGTGTGTGTGTGTGTGTGTGTGTGTGTGTGTGTGTGTGTGTGTTCAAAGCAACGTGCTGAAAACACAGTAAATCTGCTGAAGTCCAGTGTAAAAGCCCTGATGTCTGAAGAGCAGGAGCAAACTCTCATTACACACACACACACACACACACACACACACACGCTTTATTATTTCATCCAGACAGAATTAAACCTGCTTTCCTACTGACAGAGAGAGAGAGTGTGTGTGTGTGTGTGTGTGTGTGTGTGTGTGTGTGTGTGTGTGTGTGAGTGTGTGTGT